AAAACAATTAGTCAGGTTTGCATGGGCTAAGTGGGACAGAGGTAAATAATGATGTTTGCCCAACCTTGGAACAACAGGGCTTTGGGATACAGGGATTGGGACATGGTTAGAATGTGCAAAAGGGGGGAAATAATGTTAAGATGCTTGGCTGTCTTCTGAATCTTGGTTTTCCTTGCATTATATTATAAAATAGACACTGGAGGGGGAGAGAAAGTAATAGACAGAAATATCACCATAGAAAGCTTGTAAGTCCATCTTCTGCCTGTAGCTAAAATGGGGCTACATCTTGCCCAGTGAAGAAGGCTTCCTGCAGAGTCTCTGCATTACATAATATCATAGATGGAATCCTGAATCCCATCCAGAATCTTCTGAGGTGGGAAATTTCTACTGGAAAGGACAAGTAGACCATCCTGCAGTGTCTAGAAGAACAGAAGATGTTTTTTGAAAGAAAGACCGACAGAAAAATACAAAACAATAACGTCAGTTTGACTGATTACTACAAGAACAATCAAGTTGCTCGCCCGGGAGACATCAAGGCAAGTAGTCAGGTCCTCTCAGGGCAAACCCCCTTCCAAGACTAAGACTCAATGGGAATACACGCTCTGATTGGTGACACATTCATCACCAATATGGGGAAGTGAGGGAAAAACAGCAATGAAGCTGCGAGCTAAGCCCTACAATGTTCAATAGACTCCTGTGAACCTGGGTGGAGACCTGGTTGGCCAGCAGTGTGGCAAGACCTGGGGACTGCTGGGCCAGAGTCAGTGACATAGCCACAGAGGACTAGAGTGGAAAGTGAAGCATCCAGATTATAAGAAGAGAGGGCATATGCATAAGAACATCCAGATTTGCAGATAATACCCACTCGACCTGGTTTCAATGGCTGGATGATCAGAGCTCAACTAGAAGAAGAAAGAAGAGGGAAAAAAAGAGTTATCTGATACAATTTTGATACAGTAGCTCAAAAAAGGGAACAAGTCTTTATAGTGAGGATCATTCCCACCCCCTCAATACACAGAGTAGTCAGGGATGGGCAACTTGGACATTGGCTACCCAAAATGGTGGGGCTACAAAGGCAAGAAGTGACTGGCTTACAAGCTTTCAAGAGGGAGCCTAGATCCAGAGGGCATGGAGGAAGATAGAATCTCCACTGAATACCAACCAATTTGTCTTGGTGGGGCTGATGCAAGGAGATGTGGGTAGGTCTCTTGTGATACAATAGTGAATAATTATTATCAGGACTGATTGTGATGGTTGGAAATGTAACGGTAGACATTTTGTAGCAAAAGGAAGGGAGTGATTGACTTTGCAGTCTAGGATCGGAGGTCTCTGGGACCACCAAGGGAGAAGAGTGGAGAGCGGGGCCCTACCCAGAGAAGCAGTGACACCAGAGTTGGAGGCAGAGATGATGATGTGGAGAGATGGAGCAACTGGGGACTCTAGACCCAGAGAGGGAGTTGGGCTGTGTGCTGATGACCGGAGGGGGCGGGGAGGGCAGGGTATACTTTTGTTGGTTGATGACGCATGGAGGGGATTGTAACCAAGGCAATGAAACAATATACAATAGAATGAATGTAAAGCTAATCACATGTAAACTATCACATAATTCACAATAAAACATTAAAAACAAAGACCATAAAAGCAAGAAGAAGAAGAAGAAGAAGAAAAAAGATGGGAGGAATATACAGAGTCTCTGTACTAAAAAGAATTCACTGATGTTCAACCATTTCAGGAGGTAGCATATGACCAAGAACTGATGACATTGAAGGAAAAAGTCCAATCTTTACTGATGGCATTGGCAAAAAACAAGATTCCAGGAATTAACAGAATATAAATTAAAATATTTCAACAAATGGATGTTGTTGTTGTTGTTAAGAGCCGTCGAGTTGGTTCTGACACATAACGACTCTGTACAGGGTTTCCAAAGCTGTACATCTTTACAGGAACAGAAAGCCTCATCTTTCTCCCATGGAGCGGCTGGTAGTTTCAAACTTCTGACCTTAAGGTTTGCAGCCTGATTCGTAAGCACTACGCTACCAGAGCTCCTTCAACAAATGTCTAGAATGCTGGAAATCCTCCCTCTTTCATGTCAAGAAATTTGGAGGACAGCTACCTGGTTAACCACTCGTAAGAAATCCATATTTTTGCCCATTCCAAAGAAAGGCAATCCAACAGAATGTTGAAATCATCAAACATTATCATTAATATCACATTCAAGTAAAATTTTGCTGAAGATAATTCAAACATGGTTGTAATAAATACATTGACAAGCAACTGTCAGAAATTCAAACCGGATTCAGAAGAGGATGTTTAATGAGGGATATCATTGCTGATGTCAGATGAATCTTGGCTAAAAGCAGAGAATACCAGAAAGATGTTTACTTATGCTTTACTGACTATGCAAAGGCATTTGGCTGTGTGGATCATAACAAACTATGAATAACATTGTGAAAAGTGGATATTCCAGAATACTTGGCCATGCTCTTGAGAAAGCTGTATGTAGACTGAGTCAGTTTTAACAGAACAAAGGGATATGAAATAGTTTAATACCAGGGAAGTTGCATGCCAGGGTTGTATCATTTTACCATACTTATTCATCTATATGCTGAACAAATAATCTGAGAAACTGGATTATATGAAGAAGAATGTGGCATCAGGATTGGAGGAAGATTCACTAGCAACCTGAATTATGAAGATGCTGCAACCTTACTTGCTGAAAGCAAAAAGGATTTAAAATACTTGCTGATGAAGATCAACGACTACAGCCTTCAGTGTGGATTATGCCTCAATATAAAAGCAAAAATCCTCACATCTAGCCCAATAAATAACATCATAACAAATGGAGAAAAGAATGAAGTTGTCAAAGACTTCATTTTGCTTGTATCCACAATCAACATTCATGAAAGCAGCAGTCAAGAAATCAAACAACATATTGCATTGCTAAAGAGCAATGAAGTAAGTTTGAGGACTCAGGTGCGCCTAACCCAAGCCATGGTATTTTCAGTAGCTTCATATGCATGTGAAAGTTGGACAGTGAATAAGAAAGACTGTAGAAGATCGATGCATTTGAATTATGGTGTTGCAGAAGAATATTGAAAGTACCATGAACTGCCAAAAGAGCAAACAAATTTGTGCTGGAAGAAGTACAGCCAGAATGCTCCTTAGAAGTGAGAATTAGTCTCTTAGAAGTAAGAGAGACTTTGTCTCTCATACTTTGGACATGTTACCAGGAGAAACCAATATCTAGAGAAGGACCGCATGCTTGGTAAAGTGAATGGTCAGTGAAATAATCCAAGTCCTCCAATCAGATGAATTGACATAGTGTCAAAGCAATGTGCTCAAAGCTAACAATAACTGTGAGAACTGAAAGTGCTTTGTTCTGTTGTGTATAGGGTCTTTAGGAGTTGGAGCCAACTCGATGGCACCTAACAATAACAACATTGATTGAAAGAAGCAGTCAGAGGATACTGGTTTAAGATTTAAAGATGATCTCAGGGCAACGGTTTTGGGAGAAGTTCTTGTTCTTGAGGGCAGAGTGCTTTTCACATAGTAGATGCTTTAATGATGTGTTTGATTCATTGATTGTGTACTGGAAAGAGCCCTACAGCCTGTCTATTGATGACTCTTAGTGAATATTTCGGAGCTGAGAACTAGTACCCATCCTGTAATTGACAGATTGGCTGGAAAACCAATAAGAAGTCCAGCCCACTGACAGCTCATGAATGGTGCCATAGTGTTGACTAGAAGCCAGGTGTTCCTCTACCTCCAACTCCTTTCAAGTATAATAAAGGAAAAATGGGACCGCAAGACAAAAGACTTACTTATCTTCCTTCACTCTTGGAATCTGATGCTTGCCTGAGTTTTGTTTTGTTTTTGTTTTGCTTGCCTGAGTTTTCAGGCCATTTTCCAACTTCTGCTTTGGTATGATGTGTGGTAGAGTCCCTGGGTGGTGTAAATGGTTAGCATGCACAACTACTAATCGAAAGGTTGGAGATTCGAGTCCACTCAGAGACAGCTAGAAGGCTAGCAGAACAATCAACTTCTAAAAATTAGCCACTGAAATGCTATGGAGCACAGTTCTATTCTGACACACATGGGGTCAGTCACCATGAGTCCAAATTGAGTTGATGATTTGAGTTTTGTTTTTGTTTTTTTGTTTAATCATATGTGGCAAAAGGACCTTTCTGAGGTTTCTCAACAGCCAGTCAGTACTAAATCAAAGAATTTCTGACCTCTGAAATACTTAAGCCACATTATCTGTCAGGTCACTGGAGTTTGAACTTCAATCTAGATATGTTTTGAATTGTTGGGGTGTGTGACTTTGTATTTTAACTGCTAGTTTGCATCTACTCATGTCTTGTGTGTATAAATCTATGCAACTCTGTGTGATGCCTCACTAAAGGTACTACGTAAGTTGCTGGGTTACCCACACATTGAAATTCAACTTTCTTATTTGCAATGTGAAAAGCACTCTCACCTCAAGAACAAGAACACCCCCAAAAAGATTGCCCTGAGATCATCTTTAAACCTTAGCCAATATCCTCTGAACTCTTGTTTTAATCAAACAATGTTGAAGGCAAGTTCTTTGGGTTGCAACATGTAAAACTTTATCCCCAGCAAGTTTATCAGCTTCAGGTTAAAGGCTAAATGAAATCAAGTATTTAAAGTGGCATGGGAAAAAAACAGATGAATAAATATTATTTCACTCCATCTTTGATGGAGATGGGGATATAGAATTATGGTGCATTTGTTTGCAATGAAAGTAGAGACAGCTCACATTGAGATCCTCAACTGTATTTTTCCCCACAGGAATTGGGGTGGCCGGGAATGTGTATGAGTTGAGTTGCCAATCGAAAGAAACTTTTCTCTTTCTTTGGGGCTGAGGGAGAGGGGGCACCAATCCCTGTTTGAATTTTAAGGACTTGAATTTAGGTAATATGCTTTTTATTAGGATTCGCCTTAAAATTGTGTTGTCTTCTGATTGTCTCTGTCTTTTACAGCTTGGAATTGCAATTGGGTTCTTGGTCCCTCCTGTTCTGGTACCCAACATCAAAGATCAGGACAAGCTTGCTTACCACATTAGCATTATGTTCTACATAATAGGAGGTGTGGCCACTCTGCTTCTCATCCTTGTCATCATTGGTAAGGTCTTTAACGGACTGGAATGGGGAAGGGATAGGGTTCTGCTGACTTGATGGGACACTTGTGATCATGGCCCAAGAATGCCATGGACATTCACAGAAACCAGAGGCTGAGCAGCTGACAGGGCTACAGTGGTGGTTGGTCCTGTATACTTTGTTAGGGCCTCAGTAGAGATTTTCATTGTATTTAGCCTGTTTCCTAAACACACTTCACTAGAATTAATGGGTAAACTGCTGATTCCCTTGATAGCTGTTAAGATATATCACTGCACTGTGCTCATTTAAACTTCAACATCCATATGAGGTGAAGATACTATTATCAGTCCCTGTGGTTGTTGTTAAATGCCATCAAGTCAGTTCCAACTCATAGCGACCCTGTATAGGGTTTCCGAGGAGTGGCTGGTGAGCTTAAACAGCTGACCTTATGGTTCAAACCGACTTTGCAGTCCAGCGCATTAACCTGCAGTACCACACCAGGACTCCATCAGTCCCAAATAACAAAGGAAAATAAAGCTGGTAGGAAATTCAGTTACTCAAGATTAGATAGCTGGTAAGTGGCAGAGATTGGATTCAAACCTAGGCTTGTCAAACTCCATACTTTGAATTTTTGAAAGCAAAACCAAAAATCAATTCACAAACACTCATATTGTCATAGGTTCTTCTGAGGACACTTTGGGACCACCTTTTAATTTCTCTTTTTTTTAATTATGAGAGTAACAATCATCAGTGGTCATGATAGCATTATTCACCATAACTAAATGGAGGAAACAACCCAAGTGTCCATCATCATGAATGAGCAAAATATGGTATATACTTACAATGGAATATTATTCAAGCATAAAGAGAAACGAAGTTCCAATACATAGCATAGATGAACCTGAAAATGTTGTTAAGTGCCTTCAAGTCAGTTCCAACTCATTGCAAGCCTGTATAGGGTTTCTGAGGAATGGGTTTGAACCATCATCCTGTGGTTCAGTACTTATCCTGCAGCGCCACACCATTAGAATGGGTGAAATAAACCTGACACAGAAGATCAATTCTTGTGTGATTCCATTTATATGAAATATCTAGAACACGAAATGCAGAGAGACAAAAATTTGTCAATGATTACCAGGAGATGATTACACTTATCTGCCAGTCGGTTCCAGTTTTAGCCTCATATGGATGTTGAAGTTGAAATGAGCACAGTGCAGTGATATATCTTAAGAGCTATCAAGGGAATCGACAGTTTACCCATTAATTCTAGTGAAGTGCATTTAGCAAACAGGCTAAACGCAGTTTTAGCCTTAGATTAAGAGTTGAGTTTGTTTACTTTCCCCTTCCCAGTCTTCCAATAGAAGGCTGTTTAGGCTTCGTTAGTTCTGTGCCTTGTAAGAGAGGGAACAGAAAAACAGTACTTGGGATTAATTAAGTTTTAATATCAAGGTCATGTCAGGCACTTTGGATAAAAATAAACTTTACACATAAAATGATAGACTGAGTTCTCATTTACACTTGAGGAAAGGGATTTGACATGCACTGCAGACAGTACAGGAAGAAATTAGAGGAGGGGGAACAGGTAACTATCAGTGGATTTCTGGTTGTTGCTGTTGTTATGTGCCGTGGAGTCAGTTCCGACTCATAGCGACCCTGTACAGGGTCTCCGAGGCTGTAAATCTTTATGGGAGCAGAAAGCCTCTGATTTCTGGTTAGGGTTATAAAATCATTCTTGTTCTGGAAATGGATCATATCAATGGTTGCACAACATGGTAGATATGGTAAAGGACACTGACTTGTACATTTACATTGGTTGAAACAGCAAATCTTTATGATCTATGTTGTTGTCAAATGTCGTCGAGTCGGTTCTGACTCATAGTGACCCTGTAAAGGGTTTCCGAGGAGCTGCTGGTGAGCTTGAACTGCCAATCTTGCATTTCAAACCGACTTTGCAGTCCAGTGCATTAACCCACAGGACTCCTTTTGATCTATATTTTACCATAACTTTTATTTAAAAAGAATAATATATGCTCATTATGGAATGTGATGCTTCTGTAGGATAAACACTGGACTGCAAACCACAAAGTTGGCAGTTTGAGCCCACCAGCTGCTCCTCAGGAGAAAGATGAGGCTTTCTGCTCCTGCAAAGATTTACAGCCTCCAGAACTCTAAACAGTGTTGCTGTGAGTTGGAATCAACTCCACATGGGAACCAACAACAACCTGGGAAAATCTAGAAAATGCAAAAAAAGAACCACCAATAATTTAGCCTGTGCAAATTAATCCCAACTACCCACCTCATATTACTATTATCCATATGTATGTTCAATCAATCCTGAGATATCCTAATACATATGGCATCTCTTTTTCACCTGAATGATGTTATATGAACTTCGGTGATTGAAGCAATAGTAAGGCAGAGGTTTTCATTTTCAGTTAGTCACCTGTCTAAAGGTTAACCGGTTTTTCCCCTCACGTCTGCAAGTTCCACCTCACGCAGGAAAGTTCTCATTCCTGCTTGCTGGCCTCACCTTCACAACCAAATTGTTGGAGAATCATGTAACTCATTCAACCACCCTCTCTGCGTCATTTCCTCCCTAGAATCTAGGGTGAGGAAGGGCTGCTTATTGGCTTTTAAAAGCTGGCTGAATTGGTGTTTCTGGAGAGGTGGAAAATTTACCAAGCTGGGACTTGTAAATGAGATCAAGGAAGAATGATAAGGTCAGGGACATACCGGCTGGTTGTTTGGTACTTTCACCATCCTCACAATTGTTGGTACATTTGAGTCCAGTAGCTGACCCTTTACTTTTTTTTTTTTTTTTAATGTTTAATCATGTATTTAATTTTTTATTGTTGTTGAGTACATACACAGCAGAATATACACCAATTCAACAATTTCTACATGTACAATTCAGTGACATTGATTACATTCTTCAAGTTGTGAAATTCTCACCCTCCTTTTCTGAGGTGTTCCTCCCCATGAAGATAAACTGTTCCCTAAACTTAGATTTGCTGTTGTCAATTTTGTTCTATAAAGATCTTTAAAAGAACACAAAAACTAAAGACAGACATCATTACTGTTGTTGTTGTTGTTGTCAAGTGCTGTCGAGTTGATTCCAACCCATAGCGACCTTTACTAGCTAAGATAAATTATGAAGCTAAGTCCAAAAATATTGTTACAAAATCAACATTAAACAAAAGTAGCAAAATATGAAGTTAGTATTTCTCTACATACCATGCATCTAGGTTTACACATTTCTTTTTTTTTAAGTTTTTATTGTGGATTGAGTGAAAGT